TTAGAATGCATTATGCCAAGTTTTGAAAAAAAATACACCTACAAAAAAAGAACAATGTGCTGCTTTGAGGGCAGGTGTCATCGCCATAAATAAAAATAAAATATAGGATAACAAAACATAGTCAATATCTCATTTTATTGTTCGATTACTGTCATAAAATCAGTGTTTTTTTGTTTGTTTTTTTGGAGTAGGCTTCTACCATAATTTCATGTTTTGTAGCAAACTGTTTATGCTCACTGAGTGTTCATTCTCTAAGATAATAGCGTATAACATTTGCATATTCATAAGCATCACTGCTCTGTAATGCTCTGAGGAGAACCCTGCTGGCGGTCAAATAACATTTCTCATAATTTTAATATTCTTCAAACATTTCATGTACTTTTCACCACTAGTTCCCTCTTTTCATCACAAATTCACAAAATAATCCTGTTTATAGTCTGCACTTTCCTTAGAAGATTGGGACAAAAGTAGTCAAATTTTTTGAGTAAAAACTGCAAATTGACTTGAATTTTGTCTATTGGCTCCAAAATATACAAGAAAAAATGTGCAGAAAAATTTGGGTGAGAAAGTCCAGTGGTGAAAAGGTTGTACCCATGTTTTAATGAGTAGTGGTCGTAGCAAGGCAGTGTGTTCATTATGGGTCCATGCATTGTATACATTGTGTGTAAAAAAAAAATTGGAACATGCACTGCCTGACGACCATCGTACTTTAACTGTTATTTTGCCTCATTTTGCAAATTTCCCTCTTACATCACTGCCTATGTTTTTTTACCTTCTAGACAAAAAGTCTGGCGCCCTCAACGCCACTCACAAACAGAAGGTACTTAAAAGAGAAAGATCCCACGGTAACGCCAGTTTCCACAGCGACACAAGGTGTAAGCCGATTACAAGCATTACTCGCAGGACACAAAACAGGACCCAGTGATCTATTAGTTACTTTGTTCAGAGACTGCAGTGAAAATCCACTGGATACTGTTTGTAAACGAATAAAAGAACTGGGAGAAATATTCTGTGAGAAATATGCGCAACCATCGGAGGACCATCCTGGTTCCCATATTGACTTTGCAAAGCGCCGTTTTTGTATGGCGGAAAGTCTCTACTTCAAGGCACTCGAAAATATTATGCAAGCTGAGAAAAAAAGACTTGGAGCTAAATTTGATTTAACAGTAAGTTGTCTCTTATCTTCATATTCTCAACCTTAAGAAGCCCGGTATTTGGTTTAGATGTGTTCTTGTATATACAAGACCTCAAACTGAACATGTCTCTGATCTGAAGAATTTTTTTCAACCACCTTAGTGATAAGTTGAGACTGGTTTTATAGTATTTTTTGTATAGATGTCATGTTGGTATTCCTCAAAACCAGTTTTTGATATATATATTGTATAATTATTGTTGAAGGCGCCTGAACATTGTGATGCCCCCCTATTCTCAGTCTAGCAGGTTAACCTCCCCCACTATCTCCTCACTATATTGAATTCATTGTGAGTTTACTCAACATTTCTGTGAAGTGTCTAGTTGGTTTAACATATCGATAAGTTGTCATTCTTTGCTTTTGTGAATTCATGTAAGTGCACTTAGTCACTTGAGTTTTGAAAAAACATTATGGGTTATATCTTCCATATTTCTCAAAACTGTGACCTATGGATTGATCTCAGTCCATGCATGTGTCTCCCCTCCCCCACCTATAACACGGCTATGCCTGGACTGATCACTTTAATGTTAAAAATTACAAAAATCCAGCATTTTTGCCATTCTGGAGCCAGATCTCGGCCATGCATGGACAGATTTTGTTAAAATTTGGTGTATACTTTGAACAGAATGGGACCTTTGTGCACATCATTTT